AAAAAAAAAAAAAGCTTGATGGGGACTCTGAAACAGCAAACCGTTGTATAGATTCTAAATTTACAAGCATGGCATAGCCTTCTCAATGTTTCCATTTATTTTTCCAATTTATGTTGGAAAATGAAATGAATGACCAAATTATACAATCTCTTGAAATAAATCTAGAACAGATGTCACACGCTGAAATACAATAAAAATCCAAGAGTGAGTCATTGTAGATATCCAGTAGTTTCTAGAGTAGTTTTTAAAATTACAAAAAAAGAAAATCTCAGATTTAAATTTTAGTCTTATTTGCCTAGAGTATATGGAGTAGAATATAAAGTATATATCTAAGACAAAATGGACTGGTTTGGGATAAGCCTTAACTAAATGCATGCTTTATTTTATAGAGTCATTTATAGTTCTTTTTGGGCTTGCGTTGCTTATACCTTTGCTATCATGTAATTGACAATCTTCCAGAAATTTAGATTACTACATTAAGAGTAAGACCTAATTAGTATCTTAACTTTCCTATGATATCAGTTAAAGTGTTTGTAGATGTTTTAATATACAGGATAATAGGCTCACTTTAAATGGGCCCAGCTAATAGTTTTGTTTTTTTTTTTCAGATTATAAGGAAACATTTTATAAAGCCTTATTTAGGCAAAATGGAAATAAAAAAGTGAGTACAAAAAAGAATAACAATATAATAAGCAACTGCACTCATCTGCCCTCAAGATGGTGAATTTAGTAGCATTATCTTTTTGTTCTTAACTGTCTTTTTTCAAAAATTTCTTCTTTTCCTCCCTTTTCAGAGATTTGGCTTCCTCTAGAATGCTTTTCTTGAATGTTCACTTAGGAGTTCCTGCTGCTAATGGTATGTTGTTTCCGGCATCTTATAGCACTGCAGCCCCCAATCCCTGGGCCATGGACCAGTGCCCGTCCATGGCCTGTTAGGAGCCAGGCCGCACAGCAGGAGGTGAGTGGCAGGCAATGAACAAAGCTTCATCTGTATTTACACCTTCTCCCCATAGCTCGCCATCCCCCATCCCTTGTCTGTGGAAAAGCCATCTTCCATGAAACCAATCCTTGGCGCCAGAAAGGTTGGGGACCACTGTCTAGCACACTGCTTAGTCATATAGAGTACTGGTTAAGCCTGAACCTCAGAGCCAAACACTTAGGATTGAACCCTGGGTCTTCTACTTGCTAGTTATTGGTAAAGTTATTGAATTCTCTGTATCTCAGTTTTCTCACCCGTAAAATAGGGATGCGAATACTGTTTTTATAAAGATTAAAAGAATTAGGTGGGACTGAGTGGCTCACATCTATAATCCTAGCACTTTGAGAGGCCAAGGCTGGAGGATCTCTTGAAGTCAGGAGTTTGAGACCAGCCTGAACAACATAGCAAGACCCCCTATCTACAAAAGGTAGAAAAAAATTAGCAGGGTGTCGTGATGTAAGTCAGCGGTTCCAGCTACTAAGGAGGCTAAGTCAGGAGGGTCACTTGAACCAAGGAGTTTGAAGTTGCAGTGAGAAGTTGCAGTGAGCTATGATGAAGCCACTGAACTCTAGTCTGACCAACAAAGAGAGACCCTGTCCCCTTCTCTCTCCCAAAAAGATTAAAAGAATTAAAGTATGTCAAGCACTTAAATTTATTTATTAAAAAAATTGTGTCTATGAGTTTTGCCATTTTAAAATGTGCCCATGAGATCTCTATGGTTCTGGTTACCACTGGGAACTAAATCATGCCCTTAACTCCTGAAGCAAGTTATTTTCCCTCTGCTTAGGCCTAACAAAAACATTAGAAAGGCCCAAAACAATAAATGTTGGCGTGGATGCGGAGAGATAGGAACACTCATGCACTGTCGGTGGGATTACAAACTAGTGCAACCTCTGTGGAAAGCAATATGGAGCTATCTTAAAGAGATACAAGTAGAAGTACCATTCAATCCAGCCATCCCATTACTGGGCATCTACTCAAAAGAGCAAATGATACTGTATAAGAAAGACACCTGCACCCGAATGTTTATAGCAGCACAATTCACAATTGCAAAGATGTGGAAACAACCCAAGTGTCCATCAATACATGAGTGGATTAATAAACTGTGGTATATGTATACCATGGAGTACTATTCAGCTTTAAGAAACAATGGTGATATAGCACCTCTTGTATACTCCTGGATAGAGTTGGAATGCATTGTACTAAGTGAGGTCTCCCAAGAATGGAAAGACAAGCACCACATGTACTCACCATCAAATTGGTATTAACTGATCAACACATAAATGTACATATAAGAATAACATCTATTGGATGTTGGGCAAGGGGGAGGGGGGGAGGAGGGAGGAGGGAGGAGCGGCGGGTATTTGCATACACAAAGAGTGCAATGCGCACCACCCGAAGGATGGACATATTTGAAACTCGGACTTGGGGCGGGGGGCAAGGGCAACATACGTAACCTAAACATCTGTACCCCCATAATATGCTGAAAAAAAAAAAAAAACATTAGATGTGGAACAGGCCTTCCTATTCCTTGATCATTCTGCTTTTCTGTCTTCTCCAGACATGAATACCCAGCTGCCAAACTTTAAGGAAGAAATTGAGGCAATGTAAACGGTGGATCATGCTAGGGAAATGGAGAGAACATTGTCAAATAAATATTTCCTAGCCTCTAACAGCAATGACAACACAAACAACAAACAAACGCAGGCCACAAAAAGTAAATCTTTCAGAAGGAGATCTATTCATAGGTAGATCCTACTTTTTAACTCATTCCACCGTCTTAGGTCCCTTCTGTTCTCAGCATAGAGATGCCCTGTTTGAATATTTCAGCCACGACTTTGGATATTTTACCCCTTCCTCAATGCCTGCTTCTACTCATTAGGCCCAAATATTTCACACATCTGAATCATTCAGTAAGAGATAGAACCCTGAATGTCAGCAGAAATATCATTGTTACAACCGAATTGTGGGTTCCAATTTGTGAAGAATTCCGTAGGTCAGAAATGAGAGCATGGGGTAAGGAGGGAGAAAACGGCATTGTAAGTCACACAGATTTTACAGATGTTACCACCGATGTGAACTGCAAGCACATTCTTTTTTCAAGTACTATGGACATGTCATCAAATGCCTACCAGAAAGACTCAGAAAACAGATATATGTGAACTCCGTGCACTTATACATTAAACACACTAAGATTCCAGACTGGTAGGTTTTGTCTGGCCTACAAACTATTTAAAAATTTATTGTCTTAAAAACAAATAAAAAATAAAGGCTGACACATAAAAATCTTAATTTCTGTTTTCTTTAAAAAATGGTAAGGACTGGCTAGAATAGATACAGAGTCATCTCCTTTATATAGGATGTGATAAAAAATAAAATCTTTTCTTGGAAGCTGAGCCTTTATTTACCTCCTTCATAAGACAGAATAAATCCATGGTTAAGATGAGAAGAACTTTGTTTCTCTGGTCCTCTCCCTTCAAAAAATTCTGAAATAAGAATGCAGTCATATCAGTTCTTAATTGTTCTCACTTTGAAAATGAAGCTTTGAACTGCCAATTGTAGTAAAGAATT